CCCTTCAGCTGAAATTCTTTCTTCTCAGTTGAGATTGATTTACTGGACTACAAATTTAACCTTATTTGCTTTGGGTAGTGCCTTACCATTCATGGAATGACCTTAACCTTCCAGTCTCTTTCTGGATTTCATTCTCAGGTATGTTCCTTTCTTTTGTCTGTATCCTTTAATATTTCTCATTTTTTTTACTCCATGATCCCAATTCTTGGAGTCTACCTTATGTTTCCTCTTTCCTTGTTTTTATAGCTTATACTGTTTTCTTTCTGTAATATCTCCTCTCTCACACTCAAATGCCTTTTCCCCCTCGTGTTTGTGACTCTTATTGTCCTGATTTGTAGACATTCTTCCTTTCTTGATTACTTATTCTTGATATCTATTTGATCTACTTGGGGATCAGAGCCCCTTCCTTCTATTTCACTATCTGTTTCCCTATTTTTGCATTTTTGTCTTTTACTCATTACCTTCCTGTATTCCCTTTCCTACCTCCACCTTTTTTCTGAAGCACTTCATAGTGCTTCAAAGTGATTTTCTGTAGAAGTTTGTTTCCTTCTTATTGCCAGCTTAGCCTGTTTCACTTCTTCTTCTTCTGTTTCCCTGATTTTGGGACTTATTTGATTGGGTTACATTCCTCTTTACTTTACTCCTTCCTCCTTCTTGTGCACTTGGTCTTTGTTAGACTCCATTTCTCTGTCCAGATGTGTTCAATGGTGTTCATTTTTCTTTGGAGACCTTGACTGACATTATATGACTTCAGTTCTCATTATCTTCACAGGTTTTTGAACCTGGAATAGGAAGGCTATAGGAAGACAGAACCAGATGAGGAAAAGGAGTAAATGGCAAAGTCATGAAAGAATCATTGTCATTCTTACTCTATCAGACACCTAGTTCATTTCTCTTCTTTTCATTGACTATCATGTCACATATGACCCTGTGAGGAATTGTCTCTTCCGCTTTTGCTCTCATTTTCTGCCAACAGTCATTTTTCATTTCCCTACTTTAGTCTCTCTCCTCACTTCTTCTCTTTCTTCCAACCCCATCTGTGGTCTTTTTCATTTGCTTTACAGTTGACCATTGTCTATGTGTTGGGCACCTTTCTACACATCCCTTTTGACCCATCCTCCATATTTTTTCAACTTTCTGTGCTTCAATTTCATGTCTTCCTTGCTCTTTCAAGGACCTCTATCTTTCTACCCTTATTGGATGGATCCTATGACTCCTCCAGTTGGTATATTCATCTCAGAGGCTACTTTACATTTCTTTGCATTCACTTCATCACCTTATTTGTTCTCTTGCTTCTCATCTTCATTAGCCCTAAAACAAGATCCTCCAGGCAGACATATGAATGACTCCACATGTTCATCTCTCACTATCTACACCATCTGGCTTTTTCATTTCCGTCTGGATTTAAGCTTCCACTGGTCACCATTCTTCAATCACTTCGTTGTCTCTGAGAAGAATATGTACAATGTCTTTTTCAGAACCCCTTTTTTATTTCAAAGGATCTCATCAGGTGGTTGGTGTTGCCTCTCAGGGTATACATTATACAAAAATCTACATTGAGCAAGGCTGACAGAAAGCACTCATACCATCTGCCCTGGCTCTACCAGTGCCCACTGTGAGATGGAGTATTCTGCAAGACCACTTGAAGTATCCTGATGGTGTACAGGTATTCTCAATTTGCTGATCCAGACTGTACCTACTCTATGGACTAATATGGAAATAGCCAGCACTAGAGAAGTATTCTGCTCACTTCTTTGGCTCGTGCTTGCTGGCTTTTAAAAATAAGGTTTTGCAGTCACTCATTGTACTATTTCCAGTAAAAAACCTTTCTTGCTGGAGGTCCAATGAGGCTTTGGGAACATCTCCAAATCTCCCTAAAGTAACCCCTTTTTTTTTTTCTAAGAAGACCAGTGCATAGAAGACCAGTGTGTAGCTGCTAATGTGATGGACCATGGAGAATTCTTACTGGTCGGGCTTAGCACAGTATGATGAGAAGTGGAAAAGTGGTGACACTGTTAGTGTAGTGTGGGTCACCCCTCATAAAAAACAAAACATATATCTATTGTCCCCTCCTCCTGCAACAAGAGCCTGTTCAGTAGAGTCAAGGTGAGCACACAATATACAGGCAACATAATACATAACTAACGTGTCCTTCTGCAGCCAGAGTGTTCAATAGAGTTAAGGTAAGAACACAAAGTATAGTCTGAACACACCTCAACCACACAACACTTATTGGCTATTTAACCATTTGTGTACAGGAACTTGGATGGTCACATTCTCATAACACCCATCCCTGCAATAAAAGTGAAACCCTTGCCATTGAATGTCAAATTCCATAGGCTTCTATTTGGGGTGCTTTCTGAAGGGAGCTCATCTTGGTAAAATTTTGCACTGGCCCCTCCACCAATTTAACATGGGATTCTAGCTATTCTGTGTGAGAGGTATGTTATCATCTCAGAAGTTTACATTTTCCTTACCTGAAAACCAGATATTTCCCACCACTCCTCCTTATTTCTTTGCTCACTTTTTTTTTGTCATCTTGCCTCATCAAAGAATGAAGCTATCATGAGTGCAAGTGCATTGGGGGAATTGTGTTGCCCTCCTATTGGTGGAGGGCTTTTGTCTCATGATGACATCATCATGCACCAGCACAGTTCATGTTAAAACATATAAAATTAGATGGGAGTTTCCTCAAGGCTAGTGACATACAAATTTTGTATGCATATGCATGAGAAAGATAGCTATTTTGTGTGCGGAGGTTATTATCAATTGGAAATAAATTTCAGGAAAAGAAAATGGAAACTTTCATTTTGAGTTTCATCTTTTCATGCTTAAGTTTGTTTGATCCTACAGTATGGGATATTTTGTGTAATTTGCTACTTTGTGTTGTACGTCCTTGTAGTATGCATACCACTCTATGTGATGCATAAAAGGCCTCATTAATTTCAGAATGAATATTTTCAGTTCTTTCTTTCAACATGGATTATTCAAGGTTACCAAAAGGAAGGCATTGATTCTTCTTCAGTGTTTTTGGTAGTAAAGTTTTGGGAGTAGCTTTGTTATTCAAACAAATAATAAAAAACTGGGTTTGTAATTCTGTCAGTTTGCCTTCAGGAGCTGTATTTCAAAGTTCCTATTAAGTATTCCAATCTCCTGATGGTGTTTCAAAAGATGTTTAGACTATCCATGGATAACATAGTCATAAAAGAACACAATATCATGTGCAGCATTTAATGAAAATCGTAGTAAATGGAGCAAATTGTCTTGATATTAAAGAAACAAGTTTTGACACATTAATGTGTTCTCTTCATTCTTACGTTGTCTTCTTACAAGAAAAAACTGGTCAATAGCATCCACATGACCCTTCGAATTATCTTAAGGATACAGAAGATCAGTAAGATCTTTAGCTTAAAGTAACCTTGGGAGGTGTTGAAATTAGGCAGGCATTTGATTGTGATTTATTCTATGTAGTTATCCATTTTATATAAAATTCTTATTGATTTTTAATTGATTTGATGGCCAAAATGTCATATGAAGAAAATAACATTGTTTGTGTGTCCATATTTAACGTCTTTTTTTTTTCCCAAAACTCTTATATCAACACTTCCAGTTTCACCTGCATGACCTTTCTCACAGAATTGGCTGGGTATGATATAAATGTATTTTATTTTATCTTCAGGTGCTATTTTTATTTCAAGTTATGTTATCTTTAATGGTATTCAGATATGTGTATATGATTCTAAAGTTATTCTTCCATACATTTTTCCTGGGGGCTCAATTTTGTGTTGTAGCCAATATAAAGTGATTTCTTATTATTGTTAGTTGGTTTTTCTTTCTCTCCATGAAACAAGATTGTTCTTGCTTTAAGATGGCAGTTTGTAATGAAATGTTCTGGAAAATGGAGTTCTTTGAAAATATAACAAGGAAAAACCTTGTTCCAAAAGACAAAGAGAGAACAATCAATGATAATAGGAAACCATTTTGTATTGGCTATAGCACAAAAACTGAGCCCCTGGGGAAAATATTAAGGAAGAATAACTTAAGAATCACATACAAATATTCAAACACCATTAAAGATTACTTCAAATATTACAATACCTGAAAATAAAAATTCATTTGTATTATACCATAGTAATCCTATGGGAAAGATTATGTAGGTGAAACCAGAACTGTTAACACAAGAATTTCTGAACATGAAAAAATGCATTAAGTTTGGAAGCACAAACAATGTCATTTTCCTTTATATGGAATATTCTGGCCATCACACTTATTGGAAATCAACAAGAATTTTATACAAATATTGTCATCAGAAGTTGCTTAACCAAACGTCTGCCTAATTTTTACACCTCCCAAGACTTACTTAAGCTAAACTGCTTCCTGACCTCCTATGTTTTTAAGGGAATTCAAAGTTTTGGGGTCATGTAGACATTGTTGACCAGTTTTTCCTGTCAGAAAACAAAGTGAGACCAAAGAGAACACATGAATGTGTCAACTATTTTCTCTAATATCAAGAGTATTGTAATGATAATAATTCAACATCCATATTAGATTCATGTATATGCAACACTCATAATTTTACTTTATTTATTTGTTTTAAGTTGCTTTTTATCACTTTTCTGTTATTTAAAATTGACACAGAATCACTTGTTTTAAAAGGAAGTCTGTGAGTCATAACTCACTAATATTGGTGGGAAAGTATAAGATGTATTGACACTGTCAGAAGTAGGAAATAAGGTTAGTGTAGTTAGATGTTAAATCATGGGTACTTTTTTTTTTTCATAAGTATATTCTAATTAAGATCGGGCTGAAACTTAAGCACCTGTGTTTATACAAATATAAATGAATTAAGTTAACTATAGTTTATAGTCACAACTCCATATTTAAAGAAAGGCAATTTTTAATCTTGAATTTAAGTTCACCCCATTTATATGAATAATATTTAAGAAAGACAGCCTTTTTATTTAATGATACAAATAACAAGTAATTCTTCTTTGAAACAGAAAATAGTCAGTCCCCCAGCTACTGCACAAATGACTGCACTCAGCAAGAACAGACAGGCCCACTTTTGGCTGGTCCAGGAGCCCTGCGGTCTTCTAGTTCAATGGTGGGCATTGGATTTCCCAAGCTGACCTCAGACCAACAAGAGATGCTGACAAAGGCTAAGAAGTATGCCATGGAACAGAGTATTAAGAATGTACTCATCAAACAGACAATAGCCCATCAGCAACAGGTGTGCCATTGGCATAGATGAAATTAAACTTATAAAATTTTTATTGATGTTATAGTTCATTTAACCTTATCTGAAGTCTGGTGATCAATAGACTTTCTTTTATATACAGTTCTCCTTCATTATTTGCTTGTGCAAGTACTTTAAATTGTCTATACATACAGGTTATTTTATTAGTTTAGCACGTAATTCTTAATGCTGGGAAATGACGTTCATTTTAAATTTGCATATTCTTGTATGAGAGTTTGAATATACCTAATAATGTAGCCAATATAAATTGGAAAACATTTAGAGCATTTATACTCATATATAACTATTGAAGTTTTAGATATTTTCTTTTTGTACCTGAAAAAGTGTTGAAATCTACAATCAGGTTCAAAGCTACATCTTGATTCAACTTATGGGTAAGCTTGATGTCACAATTTATGTAATTGTTTTGTAGTTAACATGCTTTCTTGCCTGTATATAGTAATATTAGAGCAATTTTATGTTTAGTAATATTCCAGTTTGACTGTTTACTAACATTAATAACATTTAGAGAGCCATGAATAATATGGTGTATAATATCTATGGGAAAGGCTTTTTTTAGTTGAGTTTCTTTTATGTTTTTAAATACTTTAAGCAAGAAGATATATATATTGCTTATTTTATATGCTTGATAGCTTGGTATTTTCAACATCTTCTTTAAAGAAGTTGTTCTAAAAACTATATAAGTACAATGCAAACCTGTAAATATTTTTTTATGAAATAGTTTGCATTTGAAGTTACCATTTCTATTATGAATAAAAGTGTTGAGAAATGGAAGTTGATGATATTGTTGATGTTCAACTTCAATTGTGAATATTAGTAACTTTCATTGTTGAGAAAGTTCAAAAAACTGTCCACATATTGAACATCTTTAAAAATAATGAATTTATTGTCCACATGCCATCTATAGTATATTGGTTTAAATGAAAAAGGTCATTGATCGAGCCATTGCTTTTCATGTTATTAAAGGAATATTACCAAGTGATGGGCTAATCTTGATTCCATAGCTATGTCATTCACTTAATTGTACAAATTATTAATGAATTCAAGATAGGATTCTATAGTGTCAAAATTAATACGTTTCTGAAACACATACTTAAAAATATTATTTCATTACTTTCATTTTGATTTCACTTAACATAATGTTTTTGTAGAGAGTCTATATCAGACTAGTGCAGTAGATCTTACTATCAGAATTCAGATCTTTTATGTCTAAAGAAAAAAAAAACTTGTTTTAATAGTATAATTATACTATTTAATGGTTCCAAAACTTCAGGTTCATAATTATTTATACCAATATTACACACACAATCAGTATAAATAAACCAACCATCCTTCTGAACTTCAGGAACTTCATACATAATACCAGAATGAGAACTTGATAACGTTATTTTATATTTATCTTCTGTCAGTAAATTTTGTAATTTATCTCTTCTGTCCAATTTTACAGATTGTTTTCTTATTTAAAACTTCATTAACTATATTAGTATAGTCAATTTTATTTCAAATTACTAATTTTTTCTGTTTGGCTTTATTATTACTATATTTTTAACTTAACATAATGTTTAGGAACCCGTTGGTCCATTTCGGCTGTCCCATTTTGTAAACTAAACTAAAACTATTAATAAATAAATTTTAAAAAAATCTTAAAGCTAGCCCTTATCTTATATATAGTTATCAAGCTTTCTCTTAAACTCACTTAAATTTACTGCCTCCACAACATCTGAAGGCAACCCATTCCAGAGACCAAGCACCCTGTTGGAAAAATAAAATTTAGCTAAAGATGACTCCTACCTTGCCAAACTTTACATTTGTGTCCCCTAGTTCTACTATTCTCACTGTTAAGTATGAAAAAAGATGATGCATCAACACTATCAATTCTCTTAACAACCTTAAACACCTCAATCAGATCCCTAAAACTCTTCTTTTTTCAAGAGAAAACAATTTCAGTGATCTTGATCTCTCTTCATTCTAGTAATCCTCCTCTAGACCCTTTCCAATAATTCAGTGTTCTTCCTAAGGTAAGGAGCCCAAGACTGAACACAGTACTCCAAATGTGACCTATAGAATGAAATTATACTATTTAGACTTCTATTCAATATTACCATAAATACAATCTAAATTGCTATTTGCCATACCACTAGCAACAGCACAAGTGACCCATTGGTCCATCTCGGTTGTCCCATCCTCTAAACTAAACTGCTTGGATGGTTTAAGAAACTGATCAACCATTACACCAAGATTGCTTTCTTTCATGACACTGTTAAAGTTATTCCCATCCAAATTATGATATCCCACATGCATTATCTTGCATTTATTGTAATTAAAACCCATCTGCTATTTATATGTGTAACTCACTGAATGATTAAATCCTTTTGTAAAGCAGCAGCATCCTCTTCACAACTAGAAATACTCAAATCTTTAATATCATCAGTAAATTTAAGTAATTTATTGACTATTCCTTTATTTATATCATTGATGTAAATCAAAAAAAGAGGGAAGGTCCATGTATAACAGCTCTTTGCTTTCTTCCATCTAGCCACACTTCTATCCAGTTAGCTAACTTATCCCCCACACCTATAAAGATAATTGTTTTCACCAGCCTTTTATGTGGCACTTTGTCAAATGCTTTCTGAAAATCCACATATGCTAAATGTACACCTTTACCCTCATCTACATAAGCAGTAACCTTTTCAAAGAATGTCAAAAAAATTGTAAGGCAAGATTATCCCTTAGTGAAACCATGTTGACTATCCAATAAAATTCTAAGCTTTGTTAAATGACTTTTCAAAGCATCTTTTATCAGACTTTCTAAAACCTTTTCCCGCAACTGATGTAAGTCTAATGGGCCTATAGTTACTGGGACAATTTTTATTACCTCCCTTGAAAAGAGGAGTGACATGAGCTAACTTCCAATCCTTTGGCACCTACCTACTATTCAAAGACTTCCAAAAATAGTAGCAAGTGACACACATATCCAATCCTTACCCTCCTTCAAAACCTTTGGGGAAATATCATCTAGTCCATGAGCCTTATCATTCTTTAAACTTCCCAATTTTTTCTTAACAAGCTCAGAATTAATGCAATCATCCTGTTCAACCTTGTTTCCATCTATTAACTGTTCAAGATAAGGAATACTGCTTAAATCTTCATTACTAAAAACTGAAGAAAAAATAGAATTTAATAACCCAGCCATCTCATAATCACCGGATACAAGCCTTCCTTTATCATCCCTCAAGGGCTTTACTCCCATCCTAACATTTTGTTTATCTTCAATATAGTTAAAAAAATCCTTACTGTTATTTTTTTTATTTTCAGCCAGCTTTTTATCATACATCATTTTTGATGTCGTAATTTCCTGTTTGGCCAACTTTCTAGATCCTCGAAAATCTCCAATCATATCAATCAGCTTAAATTTGTGATGCTTTTCTTTAATTTTATCTGTTATACTCTTTGTGTAGCCAACCTGGTTTTTTACTTGCAGCCACCTTTTTCTTTATATATAAGGAACATGTTTATCTTGAATGTTTATAAACTTATCTTTAAACCTTTTCAACATATGATATCTCCAAATAAGTCAGTTGCCCAATTCACAACAGATAATTCTTGCCACATCTCTTCAGAATTTGCTTTTTTGAAATTTGTAACCAAAATATCACTATTCTTGATCTCCATGTGTGGCAAAACATCGAACCTAATAGAGCAATCATCACTTGCACTCAGATGTTCCCCAATTTCCACCCTCTTGATCATTTCTATATTTGAAGTTAACAATATATCTAAAATAGCATTGTTCCTAGTAGGTTCTTTGACTAATTGGTGAAGAAAGCCATCCTGAACAGCTTCCAAAAACCTCCCTCATGATTTGACTAGTATTTCCTAAACTATATGCTGAAATTAAAATCACCCGTAATTATCACCTCATTAACAACTGAAATCTTAAATTCATTGCAAAGTTTCTCACTAATTTCACCATTATCATCTGATGGTATGTGACAAATTCCCACTAAAAACCTTTTCCCTTTATATCCACTAATAGAAACTCAAATAGATTCAATCTCCTTGCTATTATCTTTGATATCCTCACCTTCAACAAGATGTAAGTAACATTTTAAGTATAAAGTCACTCCTCCCCCTCTCTTTAGTACTTTAACCCTATTAAATGACCTATAACTCTGTATTCCAAAGAAATTTCTGTCATCAAAATTGTGTACATTTGACCATGTTTCAGTTATTCCTATTATACCAAAATCCTCCATTCCTACCAGTGCTCTAAAGTCATCTGTTTTATTTCTTATACTTAAAGCAGTACAATAGTAACAATTAAGCCTATCCTTAGAACTGCTTCTATACTCATTTCCTATGTTAAGCTTTTCTCTACGTCTTTTAGTATTTTTTTTTTGCATTTGGTTTATCCTGCCCCTCACCACTGTCTAGTCCTAGTTTAAAACTTCCCTTAAAGCTGAGTTAATAGCCCTTGCAAACAAGCCAGACCTACCCTATTTAAATGTAAACCATCCATTCCAAAAAGCTCCCTTCTCCCACTGAACTGATACCACAGCCAATCTACTCATCCTTACATATTAACCTAAGCCTAGCATTTAGCCATAGTGACGTACTCATAATTTCATCCCCATAGTTAATTCTTGGCAGTATCCCTGACACAATTAAGTTATAGCCTTTTCCATGAAATGTCTTTATCAACCCCTTCTATTTATTAATTAACTTCTTTGTCCTACCTTTCCCTGCATCATTATTTTTACTGAAAGTTTTTTTTTTTTGCTCTAAAACTCATACTAACTTAAAATTACATGTTTTCTTCCACAATTATAGATTTTAATTGATGTTAAAGCAATGCCACTACTCGAGTTCTGATACTATGGAAAGATTCAATTACTGTAATGGTGTTCAAAATTGATTAGATAATCCTTCAATTGAAGTTATTTTAATGGAACAACAAATTTTTAACAATAGCC